GCTTCATTACATTTCGATTCTCTGAATTTTCAATCATCCGATGCCCCATTAAATTTTCACCAAATTTACAAAATAATAAATTTTTTAATTTATTAATATATTTAACGTTTATTTAGGTACCTAAATCTATGGATCATTTTTTAGTTTTTAAATTTTGAATATGCAACATCTTAATTCAAGTGACATGTAATATAGAATTTATATTAAATATGTGTTTGATATTAAGGTGGGACTCAAGTCTTCTCTTTTCAAGGTATATAAGTTAATTATGCCATCAGCGAATTTTTACAAATGATTAATACTTTGTAATTTATGAATCACGCTAAACTAAATATTTACTCTGAATTTTAAATACGTTAAATATTGCAATTTTAAAATGTTTATGAAATTAATTTAAAATTAAAATACGGTTGTAAGCCAACGAGATACTTGCGATAATATTCTAATCATTAAATTTAATAATTAGTCAGATCACTGTAATTTTTAATATTCAAACTAAAGTTAATTGTAATTAACGCAAACTTGATTCATCATATTGTACGTTTAGAGACAGAGTTAGGAGTTAACACAGAAAAATTACTGTTAAATAATGAATAAAAAGAAAAATGACTATCCTAGTCATTTTTTGATTATTTTGTTATACAGTTATGAAACAGTCTGCGTATATTTTTTTAATTTTTATCAGATACCAAAATAAAAATGATTTTCTCTATTTTCAAAATTTAAGTAGTTACCCACGCATCATATATTTATATATCATTATATTAATGAACTGTTACTTTATAGTTATTATAATGTTATTATAACGTAGTGGAAAACTGAGCGTTTGTTCTATATAACTATATATGTTTATAGCTAAAACTTGTTAAAAAATATATTTTACACATAAAATAGATTTAATTTTATTATATATTATCGTATATATAAATTAAATAATTATATTAGTTAATATAAATTTGAGTCAAATTTTACTCCAAAATCGTGTACTGTAAAAACTCTTGAATAATTTATACTACCTAAAGAATTATTAAATTGTATAGGCAGCCTTTTTTAGAAAATATTTATATTTTAAAATAAATTTAATTTAAGTAGGTACATAGAATTTTGTTGCCCCATTTGTATATATTTTTTAAATCTAACTGTAGTTTAACAGCATCATTTTAGCAATTAACAGTTTTTAATATGTTTATATCATTGGCTAGTAATAAAATTTTAGAATTTAAAATATATCAAATAATAGATATACCATTTAAAAAAAGACAAAGTGGTAATGTGGTATACACAACAAACTATCTCCTCGAGGGACATTAAAAATAAAAGAAGATTTTTTTTAAAGAAATAATTTTTGTACTTTACAGTTTGAGTACGACCTAAAATTAAATCTATCCTAATCTAACCTAACCAGCAAATGAAACTTACAAGAACTAAAATATAGTAAAGTACTCATTTTCATTTTTCCCACAAAATATTTTTAAATAACTTCATCTGAAAGAGTGAAAAATAATTTTTCAAGTTAAAAGTATTTAAAAACACTATTATTTTAATTTTAATTAATATGCTAATAATTAAAATAACTTTTTGTGTTATACTCGAATTTATAAATGAAAAATAATCTTCTGAAGCTTTTTAGCAAGCAATAAAATAAGGATGATGTACAATATCTGATTGATCTCAATGTAAAATATAGCAACATATAGATGTTTTATAGCAACACACATATTGAAATTATCGAACATAAGTATGGTATAATATAACAGCATTTATGTCAAAAATAGTGTAGGTACACTTAATATAAAAAATAGTTAATCTATTTAAACCTTAAAGTTTTTTTTCACCGAGCCATTTTACGCCAGGTACTCTTATGTTTTACGATAATAAAATTGAGAAAAAAGTGTTTTACTCAGTGTTCAAATTATTAAATATGTTACAGTAAATATAATACAATAATACATTAATTTAGTACTCGGTAGACAGTAGATAGGTACCTCAACCTCAGTAGATGTATAATTGCCATCTACTTGATCGGCGGCTTTGAGATAGCATATAGACTCGCCAGGTGGATAATTTCAGCGGCTTATGGTCGAAAAATTGTAATCATTACATTAGATATGATTTTAAGTTACTGACAAATAACTGTAATAACGGTATACGTTTAATAGTTATCATGTAATATATTATAATAGTGGCACGTACAGTGCCATAACACTACAATTTTTTGGTAAACCATCAAATAGTCAACAGCATGATGTTTGTTATTAAAATCTAAATGGTAAAAGCTGTAATAGGTACATTAGGTACAATATTATTGCGCCTGAATTATACACAGCACTAACTGTTGTTATACTATCAAAAGGTCCAATTATTGAAAACCGGTGCTGTTTTTTGGCGGGGTGGATTGAAGATAAGAGTCGACTAGTCTGTGGTGGTGGCGGAGGCGATAGTGGTGGTACGTCGTTATCTGACGTTCTGACCGATGACGGCTACTATATCTACTACGACACGTTCAGTCGACGCTTCGTAGCACAACGCAACGCCTGCAAGTTCACAACAACTGTTGAGGCTCGCTATAAAACTCTGACAACCGTCCGTCATGGTTCGGTTTATCAGTGTCCAATGCATAATAACTGCATTACTGTAATTTTTTTTTCTTGTTGATTGATCTCGTTTATATAATACACAAAACAACATTTTTTCGTCAAACAAAATAAACTAGCTTCACTTTTTTATCGATTTCAAATCCAAACCCGCAAACATCACAAGAGTTACCACATCAACGTTGTTGTTTTAATTATTATCAAGCTTCAGAAAAACAGAAACACTACAGTAACCCACGGATATATACGCCGTAGTATTATTACTTCTGTCGTTTGAACTTGCTCGTCCACGTATTGTTCAAACTGTATTGCGATCAGAAGTTGCAAACACCGACCGAAGAAACCGCGGACACCATATTGCAGTGAGTATTTTTTATTTTTTATTTTTTTTTTCTCATCGAAGTCGTTCATTAAAACGTAATATATTATTATTATTGAACACGTTTCGTTTTCGGGAGGAACTCGCCGCAAACGGCAGCGAGCAGGAAATCCCGCCGGTTTGTTAGGCCGAGATTATTTCAGTAAGGGAAAAATAATTTAATTTTAGAATTCGATTCCATACATTCATGCATAATATCGATTTTAATCTTTAGCACGTCTGTAGGTACGCAAAGATTATTATACCCACGCGTAGTTTTATCGCATTGTTCGGTTCGCACGGGCGGCAACTAATCATAGTATAATAATGACATCAATTTAATGTAATTAAATTATGATATATTTTTATCGTTAATACTATAGTTATTGTCATATCTAATATTATGTACTCTCTCACTAAGACCGCCGAAATACCTCACGTAGGCGACTATTCGATAAATGAACGTCATCTTTCGACCTTATAATATATGTCTGGCACTGGTCCGAGTTTATTTTTGGCCGTGATCTTTTGGCCAAGGGCGAAATTATAGGGGGACTTTTTATTTTGTTTTCCCCTGACTTGCAGACGATATGATTTTTATAGTGTGAGTGGGAATTAAGAGAATCTCATTTTTGATACTTTTGGCACATAACCCTTGTGTGTACGTGAGAACGTGACTGGCCAATATTAATAATTCGAGCGTGTTTTTTTATTTCTGCAATATTTTGAGTCGGAAACAACGAGAGATAACAGTCCTCGTTTTGTCATACATTCATCTCTGCCCTATATTTATAGGGGCGTATAATTGTGCGGATATGTATTTTCGTTGTTTTAAATGTTAGCGGTCGGTTTTCAACAGGTCATCTGATATCGGTTAGTGATAGAGTAGAATGAACGCGCACCATCGGAGATCCATAATGGGTGTCAGGTACCGGGCGTTGGTTCCGGACATCACGGTTCTCCATCTCCACGAAGCTGACTCCACTCTTAAGCATTAAACAGCTATATTATTGCTATTAAAAAAATATATAACACTAAACATTTTCCAGTTATCTAGTTTTACCAAGAAAGCATCATCTTCACCTGGTAATCATATCACTATTAATTGTTTTTCTTATAATATTGCAAGTATCTAATATAATATTTTAATATTATACCTATGTCATGTCCATTGCATGTACATTTTTTTTTGCTTTTTTATACCAACTCTTGTCATATTCCAACTTCTGATGGCTTTACCTATATTGATGCAAATACAATTTAATTTCGATTTTAAATATTTTTGCTTTTACTTTGTATACGGCTTTTATTATAATTTACGAAAATGTAGAAAAAAATAATTAATAGGTACATAATATTGTTTGAGCCCGTATCTTTTCACATTCGATATAAATGTATAGATTCTTAGCTGCTGAATGTTATTGCAATATAAGCAATATATTGCATCATAGTTTAAAGCATTTTGTATTTCATATTTTTCGAAAAAAACAAAAGTAATATTTATTTTATTTTTTAAATGTGTACAAGCTGGTTGAGTACTTACATTTTAGCCCGAAAAAAAACCGTATATTTACTTTAATCAAACTTATGACTTATTATTTAATAATACGTAGCATCAATAAACCAAAACTTGTCTAGGTCATACATTTTTAGTACAGAGGTTTGTGTGCCTTTATCTGGCACCCTTTAACCCAAAATTATGAATATTCTATGGATACTGTATAGATTAAAATGATAAATAAATATATTTTGAACACAAGTTTCTCATTCTGTCAGACAAAACATTATATTTTATACATAATAGTCTATAAATAGGTAGAATCGTGTATGTATTACACATTTGATTAGTAACTTCTGATGTCTAACCTAACCTTTGTAGGAAATTGATTTATTGAAAATAATGATATAATTATGTTAATATAGTTGTAAAATATTTATTTAATATTTGTATTGTATCTTTTCTAGTTAACCTTTCATTAATACCAATACATAAATAAATTTAATATCGTGATAAGATGGTATAATTATTAATTATTATCATAAATTACTTTTTGTACTTAAACAGATCGGTACATTATTGGTAAAAATCTTTAGATTTGATACGTTTTTCTGAAAAGATTAAACCATTTGAATATTAGTAAATTAAATATTTATTCATTTTAAGTTATCTATGATTTAGGTAGTTATCAGCGAGTTTTATTATATCACCACAAAAATGAACTTGCTTCGATTATAGTTTTATACTTGACCTTTGAGTCGTTAGTTCGACGAATATTCTCTTGGATGTATACACAAGATATATTATGTATTATCATTAAGGTATTACCTGATAGAAAAAGACACTATAATATAAATAACATAAGTATTATTTTTAGATTAGTTCAAGTAATTAAGCACAATACTGATAAATATTTTTGCACAGGAATTATTTTTTATTGGTGTTAATTAAAATTAAATACAAATGAATGTAAATTTTGCATGATCTGTTGTTGATTTTATGGGACAAAAATAATTGACATTTTTATATTTTATCCATAATAAACTTGCTTACAAGTTATAAATCATGAAGTTACGATAAATTAAAGATAAAAAATATCTTATGAATGCTTGGTGTGGCAATGAGTTTAAGTTCAATGGCTACTTCCTTTCATCATTTTTATTTCTGAGATATTTCACTAAAAAATAAAATGTTTGTTTGCTATAAGATTCAATGCTATTCAAATATGTGGTGTCTCTATCACATTTTATTTCTTTTGAGCTTTTGCATCCATCGTTGGGTTGAAAATTTGCACGAGATGTTTAAACGTGCGGCTTTCGCTTTTTCCAATTAAAGTGACGTTTTTTTTACTGGGTTTTACAGTATTGTTGAATGTCATTGTGTCAATGTAACCAATATTGGTGGTATTGCTAATTATTGATGTTGCTAACATGACTGTATTTGTGAAAATATTAATGATTATTTATTTATTTTTTTTTGAATTTTCTGTTTGCTAGAATTTCCAGGACTCTATATATAGGTGTAACAAATTAACATTTTAGCGGTCGTAAATTGCAGCAGCGCCTGCGCACTACTGATGCGTGGTCTCTATGTACTTTAAGGAGGGTATTTGGTCGTGTGTTGCTTGTGCTTACATACGTCCGATATGTGGTACCCTCGACGAACATGTCACTCTATATCTTTATACTTGTAAAATTGTATTACACCTGCCATATTAAATCAAAATATATTATTGTTTATGATATCATGATGATGTATTATAGTTCACATTGTTTACCCACATTTCCTATGTATTATATGATCGTCAATAACATGTGTTCGCCGCTGTTCTTTTTGTTCGTTTATAGATACCAAAATCCACGTAAATCGTCCTCTATCATCACCACAGCAACTACCAACATGTTAACCGAGTGTTGCGACGTCATGGTGGCGCATAGCCCGCCGATTTACAGTGGACCGCAGCAGGATCAGCTGTCCGTTCTCTATCAGAACTTCCGGTTGGTCGTGAATCAAAAGCAACCGTCGCCGTTGTCGATCCGCCGATCGTCCTTTTCGCCAACTCGATCGGACGATAGGCAGTCTCAGGTGGCCAACTCGCCGAGTTCTAGTAAGCCCCGTAGACCGTGTCTTGTGGTCAGGACCGATTCGGAATGCAGTATAGGATCTTCCTCGAGTTCGTCGTCTGACGAGAATGAGCCTTCCAGTCCGATCCGGAGAAAGAAGAAAGTGGTATTCGCCGACGACCGAGGCCTATCGTTGACTCAAGTAAGTGACACTCGTCCGTAATTAGACAAAATTATGGTTGGATCATGACGTGTAAAGCGTGCATATAATATAATATTTTTACAAGTTGTCCCTAAAGAAATAAATCATTATTCGTATGTGTAACGCGTATAGGTGGTAATTACTATACGGTGTCTGAGGTAGGTATTTTCTTTTGTAACGAGTGATAACTAGACTTATAGACCACAAAAGTAAGTAAATTAACTGGACATCTTTTAATAGTAACTTATCTCAGGTTTCTCAACGTACGTGCCATCAGTTATATAAAGAGCGCAAATTTCTATATAATTGCATAATTTTTTTCCTTTTTTGGATTTTCGTCAGTTATTATCACAAATCATGATAATTTGAAACTAATGGTGATTTTTTTTTTTGCATATTTCTTCATATTTAATGGTTATTAAATAATTTTGCATATTTGTACAAAATTCGAAATGCATTGCATATTAAAGTAAAAATTAAAAAAAAATTGTGTAAGATAACATTTTGTCAAATAGAAATATTAAAAATAATTTTGTTGGCATTAAATAATAACCAGAGCGAGGATTTATATGCAATCGCTTATTATTTTTTTTTCGCCTTTTTAGATTTTTTCCAGTTATCTTCAGGAATCATAATAATTTGAATCTAATGATGAAATTTTATTTGTATGTTTCTGTATATTTTTACAAAATTCGAAATATATTGCATATTAAATCGAAAATGTTCTATGTTATTAGTTTATTTAAGTAATAAATTATAAAAAAAATATTCTTGCATATTTTTATGATTTTTACTGCATATTATACGGTATATTTCGATACTTTTTAGTGCATAAAAATCCGTGCTCTAGTTATGTATAAATTAATATTATCATTATTGAAAACTTAATTTAACGTTATAATTGCGTTGTATATTGTTATTAAGTTATAACTTGTAGGTTATCACCTATTGGTATATTTCGAATGTTGCATGTCGTCGAATACGATGACCCGAAACTCATGTGGTAGCATAATCAGTACGATATATATAACCATGCACGAGACGTGATTTTCTTTAAATAGCGTAATCGTCTTGTCGTTTTATCAAACATAACTTTTATTCAATAAAACAGTCTGCGGTTATCAACTAATAATGATTAAAATTCTCATTATTTTAACTGTTTGAGGTGATTAAGGTATTGAATAATGGTCAATAGACATCATTTATTACCTCAGTAAGTATTTCAGGTACCTACCGTACTACGACTGCTATGCAACATTATCGTAATTGCCTGTTGAGCTTGTAACTTATAACGCGTAACTCTAGCGGAAGTTACTCGTTAAGTTACTCTAACGTCGTTTTCTTTGTAGGTACATGCGATAGTAATTCCATGAAAAAACGTTCTTTTAAATATTTTAACACAATACGAAACTGGAAAAAAATTGAACAATATTTGTATGTAATACAGTATATTACTAATATTTATATTCATATTTCAGTTTAAGATATCTACATTTTACAGTTGATTTTCTATAAGAGTTCCAACCCCTCTACGACAATTATCCAGTTTAGTGTATAGTATCTTATTTTTGCTTTTTATTTGTTTCAAGTCACTGCCGAATCTGTGTTATAGTTACCTAATTTAAATAAAATACATGACCAATCTTTTGAAATTAGTGTTAAAACGTTTTGTCTGGGCGAATACAAAAGCAAAAATTTAAATTTCCAAATGTATAAATACTTAGAGCTCTTTCTATAATTTAATACAGGTTTAGTTGAAAACTATCGAATAAAATAAATTAATTAAGTGTATAAGACACTTCTTCTTCTGTCAATGTGACTACAATAGGTAATATAAGAAAATACAATTTATTTTGTTTATATAATGATATAGAATAAATTTCTTTATTAAACAAGTTCTTATTTTTCGGTAATTTTAACCCATCCAAATGAGTGTCAGCCAAATTTATTTACCCAAATCGTATTATTTACATTGAGAATATCTTAAACACTCACTCGTGCATGACCTAATCTGAGTATAATAAAAAACTAACTACTTTAGAAATCACTGATGACTGACGTATCTATAACGTTATTTGTTCAGGTGCGATTGATGAACGAACCGTCGAACCAGCCGCCCAAACTGATGACCACCAAAAAACCGTACTTTCAGAGCTTATCCCAGTCGGCTGCGTCATCGTTGTCGTTCCTTCAAGCGGATGCCACCGGTGGTACGAACTCCAGATCGGCGGCCGGAGCCAAACATCTGCAGCTAACGGGCTTCTCGGAACATTCGCCGCCACAGTGGAACCTCAGATTCTTGCAGCCGGCTTCCAGCTACATGGACTTCCGGAAACGGTTGGACACGGAAAACGTGTCTCTGGAGAACGTGATCGTCCGGTCGCCGGACAGGCGGATCGTTGGCACGGTCAAGGTACGCAACCTGTCCTACGACAAGGACGTGTTCATCCGGTCTACGCACGACCGCTGGGCTGATCACGCGGACACGCCGTGCATGTACGTGCAGAACAACGCCATGCTGACTGCGGCCACCAATCCCGCGCCAAACGTCGCAGCCATCTACGACACGTTCTCGTTCCAGTTGCCGCTACCTGTTCATGCCATGTCCATGGAGTTTGCCGTCTGCTACAGAAGCTCAGATTTCGAGTGTTGGGACAACAACGACGGTCTCAACTATTGCGTGTCCGTGGGCAGCCCGTCAAATGGCGCCCCGATGCTACCGCAACAACAGCTGCAGCAGTCCCCGCTATCGCCCGGCCTGGTCGCCGACTTCGATCACCATCCGAAGCAACCCGTCCACTACTTCGGCGCCCAGTCCAGGCAGAACTCGTGGTCTACGTGGCGTGACCAGAAAACCGAAGGTTCCGCGTACTGGTGAACGTTCCATCCGCCGCCCGTCAGCCAAAGTCTGCCAGTCTAAAATGTAAGTTCATATTATTATTATTATTATTACACCAATTTTAGGAGTTAATCGCCACACGGTTAGCTTGGGATAGGGTATTTGTTGTGCGGTCCGATTTTGTTCGCTCCACCATTTTCGGTATTTCGTACACGACAGGTTATAGACTATCCTGTCTACCTATCTCGTTTTTTAGTTGAATTTTCGTTTTACAAAGTTTACGAGATATTCTTCACTTTAATGTATTGTTTTTTCTTTTACATCATGTGTAATTAATAAAACGGTACCTATAACTAGTGCGTATCACTAATTTCGCGTTAATTATTAAAAAAAAAAAATCACTCTGTATAAGTCTTACAATCGTATACGAAAAAAATGTGATATTAGTTATTATTGGGGTTCTCGAGAGGATTTATATGCACCTAACGATGGATATAAATTTTAACGCAAATTTACTCGCTCGCAAAACACATAGGTACAACACGTACTATAATAGTCTTAACCAAAACTTATTTATAGTCCGATGGTAAAATTAATAACCATAAAAATGGAATTTGATCATACTTATACAACGAATTAATATATAATGTTATCATATGAAAGGCAATAGGCAACGTTGCTATCGGAAAGGAGTGTGTGGATAATTTATATTCTGATACGGATTGTACGTGCAATTTAGTAACTTCGCTACAAATTACTTGCTTATTATACAAACTTGTTTTGACATCTGCACTGCTACGGTATTTCATATCTAGGCAAGTTGGCAAGTTTGAAGGAACCATATTTTAATAATTATTTCACTTGTTTTTTTTTTTTTTTTTTGGCGCCATAATTCACATGCGTATATACATAGTTATGAAAGGAAAATTAAAAGTCAATTAAAAATAAACTGTTTAGCATACATTTTACATATTCATATTTGTAACTGTTAAACCAAAGTTCATGGTTATAGGCCATCTGATGATATTCGACTTTATATTTGCCAATACTAATTTGCGCACTTTTCAATGTTTTGATGATTTCAATTCTTTCGCTTCTGAAGGTTTTAATAAATTGCGATGATAATGTTGATAATGTTTAAAATAACATAATACCCATCATTAAACGAGCCAAGATGAGTTGATTATTTGTTTAACCGATTAATTTATTAAGTAATAACTTATTGAAACGCTTATTTCCTAATAAAAAGTTAAAATCTATTCGGTCACTAATATATATTTATATATACGTATTAACAAATGCAGATGTATTATTGTAATTAAAACATTTCATTCGATTATCGGAATAAGCTATTTGTGACATCTCAAAATAAATAATAGCTACAATTATTGTATGGTAATTTTATTATTAGACCGTGTTAAATGATCAGATTCTTTATAAAATCAATAGCGTTAATTTAAATATTATATAAATTATTAGCTAGAAAGACATTGGCGTTATATTTCTTTTGCTGTAATAACAGCTAATTTTTTAATTAATTTTACCAACAATTAATACAAAAAGACCCACATAAATAGGTACCGGATTTAAAACTATTTGTGAGAAAAAAATCATACAGCAAAACGTTTGTAAATTAGTAATATCAATCATACTCATGTAAGCTGCTAATTAGGTCTCAAAGTTCAAGGTACTGGTACACATTATTATTTAATATAATAATAATATATGTATGTGTATATTTTCGCGATACCATTTATCAAGATTAATGTATATTGATAGAGTTATTATTTTTTTAGCTTTAGTCTTCTTATCAATGCACTATAGCCAATGCACTTTCCGGTAACGCGAGTTTCGAAGTTCAGACAGACCTTAGCTGTTTATTTTTGTCGTGCCCCGCCCACCCGTGTGCGTGTAGGTCAAGCTAAGCGAACTAAGCGAACCATTTTACTAGCGCCCACCGACCCGTGTGACATTTTTTAAATATAACATAGTGTATGTATTATATATTTTTGTATTTCTGTTTACAGATTGTGGGATTTTTTTTTTTTAATTTCGAAAAAAATACTGCAACTTGACAAAGTTAAGCAGTGAGAACTGTTCGTCGCCCACCCAAAATACCATTATTAGTCGACGTGCATGACCGCGTGTAAATAACAGATAAATGTTAAACTAAACGAAATGTATACGTTTGTTTTTATACAATTTTTGAATTTTTATGTAGGTACTTCTATTTATTGTTTTATATTAAGTATATTCGAAAAAATTTTAATCATCATCACATTTTTTTCAAAATAGAATATTATATCAACGAACTGACAATTTTTTTTTATTTAATAAAAAAAAAAAAAAAATAAACAGTTATGAATTAAATACTATAGTCTAGTAAAATCGTTGATTTGATATTTTACCTTTTTTCTTGTTTTAATACATTGAAATATAATAAGAAGAAATATTTATTTTAAAACTAATTTATTCTTACTCTTATCATTATTATTATTATTATTATTCTACACATATTATATATACATTTTTTACGTTTTATGAATTTTACTTGTGTTGAATATCATTTCATTTTTTTGTTTTTTAATAGAAAGTGATATTGTGTAAATTAAAGACTAAATGGCCATCTCATGTAAGACTGATCTGTACATATAATATTTGTATTTTACTATTCTTGTTGTCGTGAAAAACCGAAAACATCTGCTTATTATTTTGTATAATTATTTATTATTTATTTTTATTACTACTATTTTTACTTTTATTTATTATTACCCCATAATTATTGTGTTCTATTAAATAATTTACCAATCCCCATTTTAAGTTTATAATAATCCTATGGAAACGTGTTATCCGTGTTCGCGGGACTATCCTTCTTCAAATACACTGTAATATTTTTTTTTGAGATGGCCAAAACCAATATTTTAATTTAAATACCTAATTGAATTGTTTTAAAAAAAACCTCTTGTTTATTTTTATTTCATAGAAATCGTTTAAATCTCACCCTTACCACTATTCAGCCCTTGCTCCTTTTACAACTCACGTAGTATATATATACAACTTGTATGATTACTCGTTATATATTTGTCCGTACACTTACATTTATAGCGTTTAGTTTTTATTGTTTTCTTTAGAATATTTATGGTTAAACTAACATTTATTCAACGGATTCGGCGAATTGTATCCATATAACTTATATTTAATAATAACGGCTCATAACGCAGCAGTGCATAATATATTGCTTATTATACGCGTAAGTCCTGTTTATTACTACTCATATGAACCATATAAACATGATTACTCTTTTAAAAGAATAAAGTGATGTATATTCGTTTCGATCGCTTATAAATATCGTCTCATCAAAATCAAAACGAAAAACAAAAATATAAGAAAATAATTCTAGTCATTAACTTAAAATATTCGATTAGAAACGCTTTCCGTCCGTGTAAGTGCGAACCATATAACATTCTGAAGGATGCATTGCTGCTTTATGTTCCTGTTTTAAATCTAAAAATGATGTATTTATTTATAAACATGTTTTTATTTTTTATATAAAACAATATATGTAAAAAATCATATTGGTTTAGTCTTTATCAAATTTTACTTTACATCAATATTGTTTACTCTCGAATAAAATATAATGTATAATGTATTATATTAATAATTATACGTATAAATGTACTATATTATATATTATATTAATAATCATTGTTAAATATATCATATCATATCCATGTATTATAACATTACTTAGTTTTTAGTGTAGAATACAACTCATTAGTTAGATGTTTTCATTAAAAGTCGTTCGAGGACTGTGTAAATATCATATTATTGAAATATCAGATAGTAATAACTAATTAATAACTAACATTATATTGGTATAACATTGTATATTATTGTAAAAAAAAATTCATAATCATTAATTTCTAACTATTGTGATTTATTTATAAATTATTATCATAATTTTAAGATTATTTCTATATTATTATTATACTTATTTGTTATTAAATATTTATTTTATTTTATTATATAATATATCAATGCATCGATATGCTAATCGATTTTTAAACGTTGATTATTGTACAATATCCATTTTTATGTATTGTGCAAAGTGAATTGTAAAAATAAACAGTGTTATTTTCGAATATAATATATTTTTATTTAATAGTAAAATTTGATCTACGTTAAATACCTGCGGCGATCTCCTAATAGCATATTGTAATGCCGTTGCTTGCATCACCGTCATTACAAACGATACCGGTAATAATAATTATGTAAGTATAATGATGATAATCACTGAGTTATAGTCATCAGACCGAACGAGTTTTGTTGCAGTTCTGTTTCGCTTCAAGACAATGATGTATGTATAAACATTAATATAGTATAATATACGAGTACATAATATTATTAATAATTATGATTGGACTTCAATATTGCCGTTTCGATTAATCGTTTTCGGTGTTGGCGGATCGACAAAACTAATATAGATATGTACGCCCACATATGATTCTGTATACGATTTGTAATAATGCAGATGTATGCTTTCTAGGTCGACGACGATCGTTTACACGTAATTTATGTTTACCCGGCGCAATGGTATTTAGCAGTATAGGTATGCGTATTGTAGTTTTCTTAGTTACACCATACATATTATGACCCATTGCGCGAATTCAGAGAGCTAAGTATTTATTATTAATATTCTGTAATGGTGCAGGACACTAGAGTTGTTTGTGTGTGTGTGTGTGTGTGTGCGTGTTGGGGAGGAGGGAGTAACGTCTACGTAAAATTTATGTTTCTAGTATATATCATTCCAACTAAATTTTAGAAATTTACCAACAGCAGACTATTACGTGTTTTAAATTATAACTATATAGGTGCAAAATAGAATTGTGATAATATTTCTATAATTATTTTAGTCTAATTGATAAGCTTTTTAAAATCAAATACTAATGCTAATAGAAAGTCTTGTAAAAGATACTTTTTAAAAGCAATCAAGTACAAATACAGATACTTATTTTGAGAAGTATTTAAATATTTGGTAAAAATAATGATTTGAGTGTGGATACAGATAATTCAAACAAGTATTTATAGATACAGTTGCGTTCCGGCTAGGTCGATGCATGCATCAACGCGGGAATGAATACTCGATATATAGAGCGTAGAAAAATCTTTATTTAATGTAAACTTAAATATAAAAGTACAATAATTGTAAAATATAAGGTGTTAAGTGAGCGGTGTTACGACCTAACTCTAAAAATATAATAATAATAGACAAGACTTGTGAGTGGAGTTACGACCTACCTCCAAATGTCTTTCCTAACCGTCTGCTGAGCTCTTGTCTCAAGGTCCCTTATAACGTAATCGGTTCACAAAAGAGTGGTCGTCATAGTAGTGGTGACTCTATTAATACGTGAAGTCTCACAATAAGATTTATATTATTGTCGTATTGTATCCCTATCTGGGCTCCAGCCTTTTTCAAGAAGTGAGTGACACGTGAAAATATTTCAACGGTTTATTTAAATAATACAATATTCACGATGTTTATACTGGCCTCACATCGCTAGAATTATTGATTATATTATTTATATTAATTATTTATGTTACGCATTGCCACACTCTACAATATTTATTATGATATAATTTAACATATAGGTTCGTAACAGTTGTAACAATATTTTAATATGTGTTTGAAATTTAAAAATAAAATGTTGGTATCTTATTAATCAACAAATCAGTTTTCATCGAATTTTCATGTCTTATATTAATTGTAATTGGTAGTACTAAGTACATAAAACTTAGTATTTGATTTTAAATACATACAGATAGTTTGAGAAAGTAATTAAAATACTTTTACTCAAGTACTTTATAAGATTATTAGGAGTTGAGGAATACTGTCAGTTGTCACCTATATTTTAGTGGTTTTAGCTGGACAAAAAATGTCTACAAAGTAATACAGTGTGTTTCTTTGATATTTGCCTATATATTTGTAGTGAGCGACGGAAGTTTAAAACAACGGACACAAGAATTATTTTCTCATTTTTCATTTGCATCATCCTGGGATCCAGTAACTGTAACTTGGCATTTTCCAAGATTAAGTTTTATTTATTGCATATAATTTTAATCTATTAATAATTACAATAATATTATGAATCTTATTTTCCGTTTAAAAGTAAAATATTATTCTTATTGTTTAACAAATCGTAAAATAGTTGTGATTGGGGAGGGGATAAATGTCAGATTTTATATAGTTATAGCCAATAAGTACTTGCTTTGAATTTTTAAACGCATGTCTTATTTTTTAGTGTATTGATGTATACATAAATAAAGCAATGTATTTATAAACGTTAATAAATTTAATTTCGAATTTCGATTAAAATCAAATTTTAGTGTCCCTTCGGTTTTTCTGTCTATATATTATTATAAATGATTTTATTTTTTTCTCAATTCTCGTTTTTTCAATCATATACTAATTATATTTTAAGATCATTTTTATAGATTCTGATTAAGAGACGAACTCAAAATGTATTTATTAAGAGAAAGGTTAGATATGGTAAATTAATATTACAATGAAGAATTGATACTGCTTCCATAAGTTCGGTTTTTAATAAATTTAACTCTTCAGTAGTGATTAGATGGTAACTCGATAAGTACTAGGTATTTTATTATGGGTTTTAAAAGAAATTGGAATGATTTATGTAGGTATCCTCATGATTTGTACTTTTTTTTTTTGTGATAGATGCTTAGATTGATCTGAACAAAGAAATATATTTTGTCTACTGTTATCATACATTAGTTCTTTTATAATTTATATTTTTTTGTTAGTGGTAGATTAATTTCTAAACATTTGTGATTTGATGATCGAAGTGTTATATTTAAGTACTCTTGGTGAAAGTAAGCCATATCTGCTTTTACAGAATTGAATTTATTTTTAAATTTTATACTTAGTGGTAAACCTTTAAGATTTATATTCAGAGTCATATTATGTGAGATTTTGTAAATTATTATACAGTGTGCTCCATAAATCAATGATTTTACCCAAGTATTACATTTTTTAATTCAGTTAATAAGTTATAAATATAAACATCGTAAGTACCAGGTGGATTTTACGAACTAACGAATTTTATGAATCAATGGATAAATGATAATTGATATGTTTAGATTTTAGAGCGAAAAATGATAAGACAAGATACGCAGGCTGTAGTACGTAAATTTCTCTGCTCTTTATTTCTTTTGGTATTTGTGTCTTATGATCCATAAGAATTTAGT